CTTCTACTCGAAATGGAAGTAAGCCCAACAATTATGAAACAAGAGATTCCTCGAAACCCAATTTTTCTTCCGATTGGTATAGTTTTGAGTAAAGGCCCGATGAAAGATGAGCATGCTGCCTTGAACACAGCCACTTTTCTCAGAACCCATAGCATGCTGTCGACTGTAGGTCGATTACGATTGGAGACGTTGAAAAGAAGGTCAGTATCAACTTGTACTAAAAGCGCTTTCCTACACGAAAGTTACTTACTGCTCTCAGTGTAGTCATTCAATAACGAGCAAAAGCTGAGATGCTCCTTCAACGTTTTCCATTGACGCTGTAATCGTAGCCAAGCGCAACATCAGCATTAAGATCAATCTTTCGAATCATGTGATGTAGGGTGAAAATAGGATTTTCTGCCAAGGCAAGCGACCAGTAGAGGCCAAAACGAAAATGCGCTCGGCTTGCATTAATCAAAGCGCCAACACTGTCGACCTCAACGTCACCGAAAAGTTGTGCCGCCGCATTGAAGGCATGTGTGATAAAGGCCAGCCAGAGGTAATGGACGTGACGACCAGTGAGCTGCCAACGATCGTCTAGCCAACAAACAATCGGAAAAGTTTAGATACTTCATTTTCAAAGAGCTCGATGCCAACATATCCTAGAATAGACCCCAGTTATAGGCATGTAGACAAATTAAGTAAGGCACTAGCAAACATATAATAAACTATGCCAGAACGAACTGTGCGAACCAGGCTTTGGTGGTACGAGGTGCATGCGTGGCTATATGAGCGTGTATGCGTCTATTCATGTATGCTGCCCGCATATAATGGAGGCAAGCATACATGAGTTCATGTGAATGTTGCAATATGACGCGAAAATTAGTGAGTAAACGAGTAAACGAGTAAACGAGGAAACGAGTGAAGAGAAGGTGTAGAGCTACACTTAAGTTTGATTGTAAGCGAGAAATTACGATTCGAGGTCTCGTAAAGCACAGAATCTATGCACGCCCAAAGGCATGATGGGTGAGTGGACGAATGGCCAAAGATTAAACCACCCGGTCTGTATGAGAGTGCAACCGGAGAGTACGCTGAAGCCAAATAGTTAGCAGCATCTGGTCGCTTGGCCCTAGCACCTGTTTGGCAGAAACAAGGGCTTGAGGCAAAAGAGCAGACAAATAGGCAGTATTTGACACAAATATATAACATATAAGTTTTATGCCCTATAGGTTTTCCGCCATACTCTACCCAGACTAGAACTGAATGAAGATGACAAAGCTAAGCCCGTTACGCTAATGATTCTCTAAGCGTTCACATTTATGAATGTCATTTTCGGAGACTTTCGATAAAGGTAGAGAAGAAAGAAGTTTCACTGCAGGCCTAGCCATAAAATGCACCCCTCAGTCCCACGTTGCAAAGCAGGGTAGGCGCACCCGAGCACCACAACGCTACAGTTTCAAGTGGCCAATTCAATTGTCAAGCTTATGAAGAAATATTAAAAGAAAGTATCTCTCAGCTTAGATAGAATATTGGCCAGACTTGATGCAATCAAATGCCTTGTAATTCAATATTGTTAGCCGTTTTCAGAAGACTCTCAAACGTTCCTGTAGTGAAAACAAGTCCATGCAAAGTCATTATTATATTATTAGAGCGAAAGTCTTTGGTGAAGAGATTCGAAGGTCGATCCCATCAAAAGACGACAGCAGATCTCTCTTGACCAGCTGTCGATTGGCTTTACTGGAACATTCTGTTAACGCTATTTCCGAGGCATTCTCATTCGATTTCAGCGAAAACGTGCTAGCCTCTCGTCCGTTGTACGACTGACATCATCAGAGCAAGGTATCACGAGTCAGGACGGCCTTATCTTAAAGAAGGAGGATCCAATTGACTAATCTAGAGACCTTAAGCAATTGTTCCGCAAAAAGAGTAGCGTAAGCTCATTTGAGCTTTGTTTAATGGAACTAGAGTAGAAAAATTGCACCATATTTTCTAGCATAATGGATAAATACATAAAACATTAGTTTCGCTGTCAATGGATAACCCTGAATGGAACAAAAATCACTATTTTGAATCTTCACTATGAGCGCACAAAGTAAATTAAGATTCTTATTTTTTTGTAAGCATGGAGACTGAAAATTGCACGTTTTACAGTTTAGCCGACTCCCCCCGTACCTGTGCTTAGACATACAGGGTTTGATTTCATTGTTAAGTAGGCTTTTCAGACTGGCAGTAGTTCTTGAATAAGAACTATATTTGGCCAATCTGATAATTAAGTTTCCCCACAATGATGTGACTATGCCTTATTTTTCTGTTAAATTTCACACAACCTTACTTCCTCAATGGTAATACCCATTCAAGCAGAAGTGGACTGCAGTTTTGACCTTGCCTAGGTATCATCGGTTCTCCCAGCGATACTTGAATCCTAATAGTACGGTTTATAGTCTCGACAGATTAAATGCTGTCACATTTCTACAAGCGCCCTTGGTTCGTAGGACAGAAGTGAATTGTGGGAACATTAAACTACCAGTTTTGCATCACCTTAAATGAATTAGCGTGAGTAAAGTTATTTGCGACGGAAAAAATTTCAGTTGGAGTAACCATCCATATTGCCCCAGAGAAAATTAACTCGAATAAATTGAACTTCCGAAATACACTCAAGGACGAGTAAGCTATAACAATTGTATAAATTTCGATTTAGCAACGGCAAATTTGGAAAAATTTTCTATTTCATGTAAAAGTGTGCGACTTGCTCTTTCACCGATGACGAAAGTTAGTCTAAAGCGAAGTATCAGGACAATTATTAAGGAGCACACCGGCTACTTCGGGCCATCATGAAAACATTTGTAACCAATTTCACACATTTCAAGCTAAAGATGACGCTTCACCATAGTACTAGAATAGAAAATAGAAAGCAGAGCTAAGCAACACATAGTAGTTAGCGCTTACGCCAAACTCTGGACAAGATGATTCAAGAAAGAAAAGATAATGTGTCGTTTTTTCCGTAGCCATAATGAAGCCTTAAGATTGACGCAAGAAAAGGTAGTCTTCTGGATTGAATACTGATATTTGCCATCAAATGCTTAGCAATCTTAGCTTATGCACGGATCTTGCGTCGACCAGTGCCGCCGAATTAGTGTGCTAAACTTTCAGGTGGTATTTGAGGCGAACTATCTGCTAGCCTGCATTGATATGTGTAGATAAACTAGAATAAGATCCAAGCGCACGTTTTTGGTACACATTTATAACTTAGCCCCAAGTATGTTTTCAGATCAGGTCGACAGAGCCTCGGAAAGGGCGACCACTATGAATTTCACTTCAGTCCAAACGAATTGTATCGTGAAGACTGCTTTAGCTTTGACCAAGCAAGTGGAACAACAGGCCTCAGCTTTGGATTGTTTAGAAGCCAAGCAAGCAACAGAAGCTCGATTATCGTCTTGCATCCAAGACTCAAGAGCCTAATCTGTGAATAGTGGACGGCTAAATGAGTATTTGTTCGTTGGTACCTTTGCGAGTGCAGCTCCAATCGGCCAGCTAGCATGCAAGCCGCCGATCAGCCAGACGACTGGCCAGATAACCCTCGGGTAAGAACCAAAACAAGCATGCCCTAAACACGGCCTCGCCGCTTAGCCACTAAGCCGATTGTCTCTATCGGCGATGTAGTGTGCCAACGTGCGGGCCTAGCAACGACTGAGCCAAATAACCAGGTCATAACAGTTGCTTGGTGGACTAGGTGCATGCGTATTCGTAAGCATGTGTCAACCAAGGGTCACAGCATTTAGGAGAGAGAAAGATAGACACACTGACACAAGACAAGCCAGCCTTCAGTCTACCGACTGTATGGAGGCTTTCAGCGCTGGGAGATAGACAAGCATAGCTTACCCCGTAGACCATCCAGGAGGCGTACCATCTCACCGCAGAGGTCGGATATCTGCTGAGATGACTGCGACATGAGCGCTCGACCGTCAGCATCATTGGGGTTGTCCAGGAGCTAAGGGGAATTGGAGAGTAGAGAGTTTTCACAGGCTAGTGACAGACAAGACGATAGTTAAGGTCAAAACTTTAGAACAGCTTGATTTGATCAGCCCAAAATGACGATAAGAAAGAATCATCAGAGGCTCAAGGGAACTTCATTCTGATAAGGAAGCTAATATTTTTCTACTCGAAATACGACCAAATTCAAAATTGATTATTCAAAAAATGCATTTGTTTTAATTTCAGCCCTGACGACTCAGCTAGAAACATCAATTTGGAGTCAAATCAGTGGATAACACTTTCAGGTGGATGAATATGCCTCGAATCCTATTTCATAATAAACTTTTATGCGCATAGTCAAAAGTTATTTCCATCCTGTGCTAAATTTTCCTTTGGACTCAAAGATCCAAAAGGGTAGTTTGGATGTGTGTGGCAGTAAACAGAAAAGTTGTTGCTGTTTAATTTCCAAGCGAGCTTGAGAATAATCTCTGGATATGTTTGCACACTAGCTTAACTGTAAAAATTGTTTTTAAAACTTTAAGAATGAGAAATATTAATGGTTTCGACGGAGAAAGATTCCAGATATATCGAATTAGCCTTTTACATAAGGATACACTTTTTCAAAAGTCTGAATGCCTGATGCAAGATATCCATTAAAAAATGAAGCCCAAGATCCCTAGGACCAAAAACATTAAATGGATAGAGAAGAGGTCACGACAAGCGGTAAAGCTCATGGATAAAGCATCCAATTTAAGTAGCATGGCGATGCTAATCTGCCATACCAAAATAAAAATAGGCCTAAGCCAGCGGTTAGCTTAACTTTTGAAGGAGAGAACTTCTAGAGGATTGGATTGGTCTCTGATGGAACAATTTAACCAGCTTGCCAAGGGCATAAAAGCAAATGTTCGAATCTGGCCAAAGAAGGGGATAATCTTAACAAAGAAGTGGGAGCACTACTTTCATATGGAAACAATTTACTACATAATACAAGTGATGAAAGTTTACATGGCGAACCTAACGCTAAAAAGAGTCTAACAAACAGTTAACATTTTAATATGCGATTCGATACAGGAAAATGTGGCAGAGCTATTGCATTTTGGAGAATAGATCACGTTAATTGCAGGTAGAGTCAGGCGAATCATCAATACTAATCTGGTAAATTTCGGAAATGTGTTCACCCAATTAAGGTTGACAGATAAATAATAAATAAAGTTAGGAACATATCTCTGTGTAAGCTTCATGAAAAAAAACAAAACCATGTTCCAGTAACTTGGTCCGACCGACATGGAGATCTGCGTCCTTTTTTATAGTATTT